GATAGGCATATGAGCTGAACATTTACCTGGGTAGTTTCCCTCCTGGGAGAGAACAATCATGGGAGAAAGAAAGGCTATTTGTGCACAGGGAGACAGCTCAGAGGTCAGCAGTGCATGGAGAGATGGACACAGGGAAGAGGTAACTATCAGGAGGAAGTGGGAGAGGGCTGTTGCATTGGGGTAAATTGTAGTCAATGTCATGAGACAAAGTGCATGTGAACTGCTGTATGGAGAGTGAATTTGCTCTGTAAATTTTCACCCAAATCACCATTAAAAAAACAAAAAATTTGGTCAATGTTCAACAATTTCAGGAGGTAAAATACGATCAAGAATCGATGGCATTGAAGGAATTGATGGAATATTCATTGAAATATTTCAACAAATGGATGCAACACTGGAGGCACTCATTCTTTTATACCAAGAAATTGGAAGACAGCTGCCCAGCCAACTGACTGGAAGAGATCCATATTTGTGCTCATTATAAAGAAAGGTGATTCAACAGATTGTGGAAATTATTGAACAATATCTTTAGTATCAGAGCCTAGTAAAATTCTGCTGAAGATAATTCAACAATGGTTGCAGCAGTATATTGACAGAGCAGTGCCAGAAATCCAAGCTGGATTTAGAAGAGTGCAAGGGAAATGGGATATAATTGCTAATGTCTGAAGGATCTTGGCTGAAAGCAAAAAGGACTAGAAAGCTCTTTACCTGTGTTTTATTGACTTCACTTGGGCATTTAATTGTGTGAATCATAACAAATTATGCATAATGTTGTAAAGATCGGGAATTCCAGAACACTTAATGTGGTCATGAGGAACCTGTACATAGACCCACTGTCCTTTCAACAGAACAAGGGGACACTGCGTGGTTGGAAATAAGGAGAGGTGTACACCAGGGTTGTATCCTGTCACCATACCTATTCAGCCTGTATGCTGAGCAAATAATCTGAGAAGCTGGACTATATACAAAAGAATGTGGCAGCAAGATTGGAGGAAGTCTCATTAACAACCTGTGGTATGCAGATGACACAACCTTGTTTGTGGAAAGTGAACATGACTTCTAGTTACTGATGAAGATCAAAGACTGCAATCTTCCATATGGATGGCACCTCAACACAAAGAAAACAAACATCCTCACATCTGGACCAATGAGCAACATCATGATAAATGGAGAAAATACTGCAGTTGTCAGGGATTTCATTTTACTTGGATCCGCAATCAAGGCCCATGGAAGCAGCAGTCAAAAAATCAGACCATGTATAGCATCGGACAAATCAACTGCAAAAGACCTCTTTAAAATGTTAAATAGCAAAGATGTGAC